TTATAATAATGCTAACTGTACTTTCAGTTTTGTAAATTATTTTAAAACAAGTAAGTAAAGCAAGTCAAATATTAACATTTTTCAAAAAAATATAGGTATCCTTCCAAAGAAAGAGCTTCCTGCAAGGATGACTGTGTAACCTGAAAAGTCGAAAGGTATAATTAATTTGCTGAAAATTAAGAGGACAGTATTTGCTATGAGGTCAATAAAGCTCTTTAGAAGAAATTTCTTATCTTCAGTTCCTAAAGTGAACATGTCAAGGTGAGCACTCACAGTTAAATCATTAAATTTAAAAAACTTCTGCCCATTTCTGGTTTGAGCTATGGCAATGTAATGGCCATTACTAACTGTTGGTCCGTCATGAGATATCATGCTTTTCAGCTTATATTTTGCAGATACCTGCTCCTGCTCAACTGAAAATGATTTCAATTCCAGTATGGGGTGAACTTTAATTCGCTTCCCATCTTTTTGGCCAGCACCATTAAACCTAAGAAACAACCATACAATTGCATTTATGAAAGAAATTAACTTTCACCAATTGAATTGTATTTCTGAATGTGAATATTTCTACTTATCCAAATCAGAATTACATGACATATATAATGATATGTGAATGAATCGAGGTTCTGTTACCTGTTCAGGTGAATGCAGAGAACCAATGGGAAGTTCTGGACCTGCTGCCTTCGAGCTACCTTTACATATCTCCTACACTGCCCGCACTGATAGTCGATGGGTTCGTCAGCAAAGTATTTCCTAAGAGCGGCATCTAAGGAAGTAATGTTTGTACTTTCTGTGTCACATAGGTCAACCGACAAATCCAAAAATGGTTCAAACTTGATTGAACTCATGCCGCAGTTAGGACAGACATCTACAAAAGAATGGTAAAATTGTTAAAATGTCATCTTACACTCCCAGACCTGTACTGATTTAAATTCTGTTAAAATATTTTAATTTCCTACGGCAGGAATTACTGATCAATTTGTTAATTATTTCATTAGTTTTGTTCATTATATAATAATTACAATATCAAATTGTCAAAAATGTAGAAAGGAATTAATGCCTTAAAATGCTTACATACTGTAGTCAGTATTACTGCTACGTAAAAACCTAACATAGTCCCTGACAAAGGACGTCAAAAAATCAGTAACAGGATGAGAGTGTAGACTAGAATGTTTTTCGGAGTAAATGCACTTCTTCTGTTAACTTATATTGTTTCAGTTTTCACCTGTTATTTTTAGATGACCACCAAAAATTGTGTACGGTGGAGTTGTCAGCTGGCTGGATGCATCAAGACTGCAACAGACACAGAATGTTCAGGAATATAACAAACATCTATCGACAACAAAAGGTAAGGTGAAAAACTGTCTCACACACCCACCACAAATGTGAATGTTGTGAAAGAAATTCTTGATGCAACCAATCCAGGAGCTTCCTCAGAAACTCATGGGTGTCTTGCTGTTGATTTTTATCGTAATCAATCCACATATCTAGGACAATACAAAATCATTGAAGTACCAATGAGAAATGTTATTTCTCACAACATGGATATCATGGATATCAAAAATTGTGTATGATTAATATCAGACACATTTTAAACTCGTGTGTTTTGTTATGTTGAGCTCGTGTTATGATAAGTTACGGAGCCCTGAAAAAAGAAAGAGCTTGCAAAATAGAAATTGTGTCCGAACAAATAAAACACTTGCCTGGTAGCCTGTTGATGAAGGAGGAGGGGTCTACCACTTCCCTTCGTTCTGTTTGTTGCAGCAGACGCCCGAGCTCAGAACAAATAGTTCCTTGCTCAGGCTTCTGCTGCTGTAGCCACACTCTCACTGCCTTCAAATGGAACAATGCCTGCAGATGGAGAAAACAAAAAGCTCATTACTAAATGCAAATAGTTGGCTATCAGTGGCAAAAGTAGTGTTTAATTTTACACACCACATTACTCATCTAAGTTGAAATGTTTCTCAGTTTAGACACAAA